CCCCCCCTAAACTTATTGCCTTGATGGATATCACTTGGCGAGTTATAACAGATTAACGTTGAGGTATATCTAGAAAGAAGTGATTGCTTACTTAGCTCAATTATAGAACAATCAATAGTAGGGGAGAAAATATTCCCCGTGCTACACAAAAAATTAGCCAACAAAACAGTCCGTGTGTGAAACCGTTCAATTCACACGAGAAATGAAACTCATAACTTACTTGTAGGTAGACCGATAAAGCGAAACCGCCTACAGCCACAATGGCCAGGAGACCAATGAATCTATTGGCATCCCTTGTGAAGGCGAATTTCATGGGTTTGGGGAAGAGAATGGCACGAACCATCTCTCCTTTAGCGGTGCGAAATCCAGTTCGAACAACCACTGCAAGGACCTTCTGGTCGGAAAAGTTACGCGACTGAATCACTGAGGTACCGCAGAAGAGAACACTCTTGGAGGATGCTTTAAGCTCAAAGAGCGGAGAACCTCCGTCGGGACTGCTTTGGCCGACGAAGGGAATCTTGGTTACAGGCACGCTTTCACCTGACAACCAGATAGGAAGTGTGATTTAGCATTCGATACAAACCACGACTGCAAAATAAGCCTTCCAGTCCATTTTTTGGGGGTGATACAGAAAAACCTCTATAAATAAGGAACTATGCCTTCACTCTCATTGGCCACTATTAAGTGGTTAAATCTATCACATAGGAATTCGTTGCCATGTTTCAAATTTGTGGCATTAGATATCGAAAATATGCACTCCTCTTAAAAGTTTAAAGGGCAATTTAGAGCACACAATGATAGGTTAATGTTCAAGTTTGTAAATAAGCGATTGAAATGCCTGAAGTTAATTACGTATGGGTGGGAAGCAAACATAACAATTGAATTTTAATCACAAATCATGAGGAATCAAAAGCTAGTTTTTGTTGCAATTGTGAATATTCGAAAATGACGAGAAAATAAACTTTCCAAACCACTTCCTTAGGTTCCACCCGCTTAACTACTTCCGGAAATTGATACATTTTTACACAATTATCCTTAAATAGTAATCCGGAGTCTTCTGTAGTAGCACTTTTGGTAACCAGGGGTGTGCAATAGACTTACCTCCACATGGTGCACCCTGGGTAACGTATATTCATACGGCAAAAAAGTCTATTAATCGACAGTTGACCTCTGATTTCAAACTACCACGACCCCAGTGTATGTCATATTCTACCACTTCCACAGTACTCAACCTACTTTTTCCCTGCCTTTGTGTCTGTCTCTTTTGCATCTGTGAATCACTCTTCTGTTCCCCACCCCTCGACTTCCTGTTACTTTGATGTTCCTTCCCCCTGTGAAGCCCGAAGTCAGCGAAAGGGCTAATGATAACTATCAAAATGCCTGCCATTTGAAATAAATTAATAAACGTTTGGTAACCAGAATTAACCAACGCTTTGGCTCCTCTGATGAAGATACTGAGTATAGAAATCGAACAAGCGAAGCTAATTTGATGGTTTGCGAAGTAAAATTTTGGGTTTCCGATGACTAGCCACGATGGTTAAGTCTATATATATTGACAGGAGTGGGAGAATTAGATTAGCTTACGAATTAGACTCCATGATAAACCATGAGCCCACTTATGACTAACTACACCGGTCACTTCTGGTAGAATTAGGAAGCGAGTATCTCGAAAGAGTTGTCCCAGGATACCTTTTCCCTCCAATCAGGAATGGATGATTCACCAGAACTACTGGCAATACGTGATGAGAGTCGGCTCATTTTAGGTAACAAATTTAGTGAAAATATCAACAAGAAAGTAACACTCAATCATATCCTCCGCTTATGTAACTACTGGTGTGCATCATAAGGACAATTGCAGGTCTTGAAGAGGTCAACCGTCATAGTCTGGAATATCATTTAATGTCATGACCTCTCTCATAGTGATGTGTAGAAGTGGCGGTGTAATAGTATTTCTTTCTATATATTTACATACATGTAATATATATATACTTTTGAAGGAAATAAAAAGAGCGAATTACCAGTGAGTGTGCTTTCATTGACAATACAATTGCCCTGAAGGAGAACAGCATCACAAAATATAGTACAACCATCACGAGGGATTTCAATGATGTCCCCAGGTACCAGGCCAGTCGAGTTGATTGGGAAGAATTCTGCCAAAAAAATGAAAGTGACATATAGCACAAGACCCAATCAAAGTTAAAATAATAATAATAATAATAATAATGACGTAATCAGTTAGAAATCGAACTCACGTTGAACTCCATTGATATCACGGCAAACGTTTACTTCACCATAAGAGGTAACTGTATCATGAAGTGCTTTCTCATTCTAGATAAAAATGGGAAAAACGAAATTAGTCAAAAATGTTCAAAATACAAAAAATACCTAAAAAAGAGATTGCATCACTTTCCATCAATAGCTATGCTGGATGAAATCCACAGGAAAACCTAGGAACAAAAGATATGCTACAAACCACTTAGCAAAGAAAAGTGGATCTGATAGGAAGAAAACCTATGTAATAATTTTGTACCCATGAATAGCCTTGATTTAAAATGTATGGCCCAATAACCTTTCAACGATCGTATTATTCACTAACAACTATGAAGTCAACCAATCAACATGCGCCGAAGGATATCGAAGCTACGACTTGAGCAAAGATAAGAAACCATTGTACCCAGAGGTTTCAGTGCCCTATTGAACACACTTAGAATGATAAAATGAGAATTGGAGGAATCAGATGAACTTATAAATAATGGCTAAAGTAAAACTCAGCAAAGCATAGCTTGATGTTAAAAGGTAGATCAAACAAACATAATATAGCCTACCTTTCTAAGTTCGTAAATGTTCCAAAAGAGGGAAATCCCTGAAATCACAATGATTGCAGTTGCATAGTAGTAATAAGTATCAAAAAACCAAATAATGCAGCTGACAATTTGAAAGACATAAAATTGATTTAGACCCTCTTTTAGCAATAGTTGCCCGACAGTTCGTAGAGGAATTGGAATGTCATTCTCGTCGTAAATTGATCGCCTACGTTCCACGTCATTCGGCGTTAGAGGTTTCGCATCAAGAATATCACCAGGGGAACGTTCATCCCATGTACTGAAATAAAGAAGAAAAAGAATTCAGCAATGTAAGTTACGTAAAAATTATGTGCATACATAGCGAACGTACGGCAACATTCGGTATTCTTCATAACATGCATCCAATATATATTTGATATTTTTGTAATAGATCCAAGTGTTAGATGCAGTAGAATCTTCGTCAGTTACCAAATTTGGCGTAGAAGAATCAATGTCAGAGAAGATTGAATCCGCCAAATTTTTAGGATTATGCAAAACATTTACAATGTAGTAAACACCGGCACTGTCCCGAATAAGAAGTTTATCAGCACTTTCAACCGAGCAAGAGACCATAATGAACCGGATATGTAATTGAGGAAACCAATTCAAGAATAACCGAAGAAGAAATAACGTAATAATGTAGCATATCCATTTTCGAGCAGTTACAAATTTGGTATAACGGAAGGCCCACACAGTCTAAAAAATATAATAAAAAACATAACCACATACTGATACGCTTCCATCAGCATCAGTGATAAAACAGGTGCAATTTTCACTGTCTGGGTCGATATATTTCATGTTGCCGATGCATATATCACGAACGTCGAAGCAAAACGCGTGATGTACGAGCAGAAACGAGGACCAATTTACGCACTATTAAATGCGACCGATGATGCAATTGAAATGTTAAAACATGAAAATAGTAGAAATAATTATTCTATTTTAAAGGATAATTGTCAGTATTTATATCAAAAAAATGAATATTATTGACATGTTTAAATTTGGTCATATAATTTTGAATTAAAATGAATATGTCTACTCTTTAATTGCAGCAATTGGCTATAATTATTTAAAACTGATTTAGAGTTTCATTTTAATTTTATTACGCACAAATATTATACTTGAGAATCATGTTCTATTCATCTATTACTTTAAAATGGCAGGGATGTGTGCGAAAAAGCATTATTATATAATTAACTCTTTTAAACTATCTATCGTTCAAGTAAGGTTTCATCCGTCGATGTTGCCCAATTGAAATTTGTCTTTATATCTGTTTACTAGATATAGGATGTAATCATATGCCCCGTCTAGCGTAGTAAATCATGTTCAAACGAAGTGTGGCACTTGTTTTGGCAGCAATGTCGGAAGCCACTTTTATGAACAAATGGATTAGTGAAGACGTTATTAATAATTGAAAACTAAGATTTGTATAGACCAGCAAGTATTTAGTTAACTATGGCGTTGAATGGATTGAGTGACAGTAACATATATGCAGATAAGCGACAATAGTGAGGGTATGCATGTAAAAGGTGTGCATGATTTACTAGTGCAAGGGCGCACTTGAGGGATCGGAAGTAACTGCACTTATAAATAAAACTGTTCGACTGTGAACAAAGAGAATCGAAAACCTTGTCTAAATATGACAGATGAAAGTTTGTTTTGTAGGAATATAAGGACATCACTGTAAATTTGTGGACGAAATAAGAGGCATTTAAATGAACAATGAAACTGAAGAATATTTATCGAAAATATATAGAAAGCCATTCTTTCAGCTAATAAAACTTAATAATAATAAAATTTAATGAATCATCCTGAACACAATCTAATTTTAGCATTAATATTGGAAGGAAAAATGGAAGAAAATGTCAACAGGGATCATTATTTTTGACACTTTGATTCTTTCTTATCTTAAATGCGAGTTCGAAACCCTTAATTCACTATTTTGAATCCTCAAATCAGCAATCGCACAGAGAATTCCCCTTTCCCATGGAGGGCATGGAATTGAGTTCTCTAGAATCTGAAATGCTTAAATAAATTCCGTTCAGATAATAAAAGGCAAATTAAAGTTCGATTAGACCTAAACGTGCTTCTTAAGACATAAATAAACCTTGTTCCTATGTTTTCTTTAATTAAAGTTTCTTTCTTTACGATGTAACATCACAATTGGAAGGCAAAATAATAAATGGCCCTAAATTACCAACACAAAAACTGGGTTTACTAAACGCTTCTTAACTATAGCGCTCAACCTAATCAGTTGATCATGTTTTTCTTTCTCGTCATTTTAGCATGGTGATTATTACACATTGAGCACGTTGCTTATATCTCAACACCTACACCCACCAACCCACCTACGCACGCACGCACACACTTGCCTAAACCCCAACGGATGATTGGCTGCACATTTATTTAGGCAGAAATCGATAGGCTAGTTACAACATTAGTTAGAATACAATGTGTTTGAGCAAACCTTTGCTGATCAGAGCTTACCTGCTTTATCTATTAACCACTCTGCAAAGAGATTTCACCATGACTAAGGAACTTTCTTCCGTTTTTTATTTTTTAATGAAGTTTGCTTGACACTTAAATAAGGAGTCATTCCTCTAGCAAGCACTACAAAACAAATGATAGCATCTTTTCTTTTCAGTTAACATAGTTTATATTGTGAGGTTTTAGTTTTATAACGCTGAAAAATACATGTGATATAAAAGTTGACGCGATGACAACAATTTGACAAGAAGGCTCTAACATGGTGCACTCTAAATAAAAATGGTCATATTAGATCAAATTGCCTGCCGAAAATGTGGTTTTAAGTGTTCTCCCGTTTTGGTCCATCCGAAGTTGCCACAACAGAACTTTGAAGCGCAGATCCTTCGTCTGCTTACGGATGTTTCCTTACCTCATCCTTATATTTTATTAAATCACCCCGTCTAGTCCACCTCCCATCTTGCCTTTCAGTTCACCTCCTACATCATTGCAATGCTTCCAAAAAACCTGTTATCTACCATTCAAGTACACAGAAATACCATTCCTCGAAGTTATAACGTGTTTCATCACACATAAATCCCCACTCTTGTGCTTCAGATCACTCAAAGAGCACATCGTTACATGGAACAGCTCTACCACTAAGAATCAATAACGTCTTTGAGAGGGCAACAGGTGAGAATTTAACCAGTCCTACTTCATAGAACTGTAAATATCGATCAAGCGCAAGTAATAATATAGAAGTTAATTATTCGTACGGAGTGATTAAATTAACAAGATAAGAACGATATTAACCAAGAGTGAAGGAATTTCGAATAACAGGTAGTGAAGGAAATAGGCCATGAAGATCTCACGTCTATGGCTGAAATATATATATTTCTGGCTTCGTGAACTCTAAGGACAGACTGTTGAGAAAAAGTCAAAAACCTAAAACCAAGAAAAGAGTACATAGAATGCTACGTTGCACCTCTCCCCACACCCACACTACTTCAAAAGAAAAATAAGCACAATGAGAGACACATAGTCCCTTTCTCGCTTAACAACTAAAACAAGAATGTCTCACCATAATACTATTTCAAAGTCGAAATAGAAGTAGCGAAAAGTGAAAAAACATGATCATGGGGGGGGGGGGGGAAGAAGAATGAGAATATAGGGAGTGGGAGAGGGCAACAATTACTACTCTGGGGCTCTTGAATTGGTTCTTGAGGTTGATCTCGATGTAGAAGTCCTTGAAGGTCCTCGTGGTAATGGGAGTCTACTTTGTGGAATTGAAGTAGGTGGCCTTAATCTTGATACGGGAGGCCTTAAATTCGATGTAGTAGGAGCAACTCTAGGACCTTGAAATTTAGACACAGCTGCAGTACTAGAAGTTGCAGCTGGAGGTCTAATTCGTGGGATACCCGGAAGACGGATGGAAGATACTCCTGTAGGCCTTCCGGGAGCACTAGACGTCGGTACTGTTCCAGGTCTTCCCCCACGAATTGCTGAAGGAGCGATTGCACGTCGATTTCCTGTTTTCCCAGAAGGTGAAGTAGGAGTTTTTGCAGTCACTGTCCTTTGAGAAGTAGTCATTATACTTTCTGTCAACAGGCTCTGCGGGGGCTGAACTAGTTTTGGAGGAGGAGCTCTAAGGTCTGTAGGACGAATATTTTTATTTGTCTCTTCTTCTTGCAAAGCATATGTTTCCGTACTACCTCGCATTCCACTGAAAGACTCTCCGGAAGCGGAGAGGTTAACAATCCCTATCTCATTGTTATTCATAGTGGTCATAGTATCGGCAACCCATGCCTCCACAGCACTGGTGGCGTTCTTCGCACTCTGTAACTGTTCCACATAGCTTCCAGGTCGAGCTGTTTTCGGCGTACGAGGAGTGGATGGCGTGGTTCCATCAATGTCGATAGGTAAAGCAAGGGGTGGGGGGACATTAGCTCCACTACCTCTTGGTGGTCGACGCATTGTAACTGGAGAAGAAGTCCTTTTTGGGAGAGATAAATCTTCCGACGGGATACTACTGTTCAAAGAAATTCCCTCTGGATTCAAATCGTAAGTAGCACCTGAGACATGTAGCCCTCCAGGTCGTTCAAGGGATTGATGTACGGCTGGTTCTTTTTGGGACACGGGAGGAACATGTGGAGACCCATCCCGACTACTTATTGACGAACCAACAGATTGACTAAGCGAGCTTCTTGAACGCACCTTCTGCATTATCTGCTCTCCAGATGCTCTCAGGGACTCCTGTTGAGCTCGAATCATTTCATTCAACGATGCCATGTCCTTTAGGCTCGATTGAGATGAGGACTTGTGCCTCGAGAGTTCACCAGTTGTATTTCGTTTTCCATCTGGATCATACCTTTGAGGGACATCTTTAACCTCTCTCTGGGCAAATATATGAGAAAGTCCACTGCCATTAACACCACCATCCACCGGAAGGGATTTATTCAAACGATTTGTGCTCCCATGTGCACTGCCATTCCCTTCCATTGAACTTGCAAGAGAGATATTTACCTCCCCGGCTCGACCACTAGATGCTCTCAACCTCATTTCCTGTTCCTTCATTAAAGCCATAGCGTCAGACATGTTGGTCGGGATGAGATTAGAACCAGAACCGTTTGTTTTGAAACTACAAAGCATTTCAGGCGCAGAGAGTTTGTGCGCAGGGGTTCGAGAGTTATCCAATCGGGTGGGGAGGGAATCTCGAAGCGATGTTTCATTGGGAGTCTCTCCTGAGAATCTTCCATTACGCATAGGGGAGGCGGATATTCGCGGAACTAAAGTGTCATCACGTTGAAGGTGCCTCGACTGAGTAGGCTGACGCACGAAGGTCATGTGACGATTTGCTCCCTGGGGAAGATCTGCGGAGGGTTTAGGTGGCGGTGCTTGTCCAGAAGGGTCAAACTTCTCCGTTGACACTCGGGGGCTAGGGAAGACATCACTCAGTTGATCAGCATCGAAGGTTCGCCCAAGAAGCTGAGTAGAGTTTCCACTCAGGTCAGATGTTGCAAGGCCGTTGAGGGATCTTTGCAATTCACCAGGAAACTGGAGGTGATTTAATGAACCCTGGAACGAAGAAAACATTCAAGCAAAAACGATCAACTTTGATAAAATTTTAATCATGTGATTAATTCTTCAATGTTCACATGCAGATACTTTTTTTCAAACAGACACGAGTGCCTTCTAAGCTGAAGCAACTTTTCAATACGCTGATGAAGTAGTAGAGACAACAAATAAACTTGGGCAAGAGGTATTTCAGCTGCAGTGTTTGAAATTTGGTGCCAATAAGACATCTCTCAATGTATAAGCTCTAAGAGGTGGAGAATGTCACTTAAAAAGGTAACATTCTTTTTCACCGGAGCTAATCATTTCAGTTGGCCAATCACATCAGTAGATATGGATAAGTGGGTGTCTCTACACTGGGCATTTTCATTCCCTCATTTCCAAAGGAAAAGTGCCAAGTTATTTCCTTCAGCGGTCTGAAGGATATTATGGGAATCAGTAGCTGAGAACATGGATGTAAATTGGATTAAAAGTCTCAATTACAAATTCACAGTAATCTCCAGAGTAACATCGACATCTTTGCAAAAAGTTGAAGTGCTTTCATAGAGTCCTACACATACCAGGCCTTCTATGCTAATCTTATCGTAAGGCATTTGAAACTCTCACACTTCGCACGTTCGTGTGCAAGTGTAAAGTTTTAGCAGCCTGAGAATTAAACGAACTCATGCGTAATACAACAGCAATTTCCAAGGGATGCGAATCTTATTGTGAACTGAATGCGAAATGTGTTGAAAGCTGATGGTATCATTAGTCACCTAGAGCATGAATGCGTCTAAATGACTCTAAACTTCAGGTAGAATATATAATCTCATTTGACGGGAATCGAACATTCAACTCGTAGGACACCAGCTTCACAAATATGCGCATAAAAAGACAAATGACTCGACAAGTACTTTATACAAATTTTAGGAGAAAAAATTACCCCAAAACGAGTTCTCAATAAAATTCACCTAGCACTGCTTTCCACAAAATTTATTGAATGATACAGAGTACACAAAAAGCACCAACTTATACAATTGCAGGTTACTACCAGTTAATGAAAGAATAACCAGCCAAATGGGGTTTGGAACAATCTCAAGATAAAGTTTAATAATTGTGCTCAGTTAGAAAGCTTTTACTTATCAGATGGAAACCTGATGGAAGTTCTACAACAGTAGATATGGATAAGTGGGTGTCTACACTGAGCATTTTCATTCTCTCACTTCCAAAGAAAAATTGCCAAGTTATTTGATTCAGTGGTCTGATGGAAGTTCCACAACAATGTCACAGCACCTAATCCTGGGAACCGCCAAGGCCTCAAAGCCTAGACTCAAAGGATGCTTGACAGTAAAACCATTTTACAAGTACGGAACCTTCTCTCGCAGAAGCATTGAACATACTCTTAGTAATTCATTTAAGCACCACACGTTTGTCCGCAAATAAACTCATGGGAAATTCAAGGTTACATGGAAAATTAGCTAAGTCAAATTGAAGTTTTGCCCATAAGACGCAACCGATAAACGAAAACTCAGCAACAGGTGAAATTATAATGTAAAGAAAAGAGGATAAAGATTGCGAATTCGAATTACGTTCGCAGGATCTAATCACAAAGTATCTAGAGTCAAGATTCTTCGTAGTTCAATACGAATTCAGTTGGGCTTAGCAATACACATTCCACAGACAACATAGACTTTTATCAACTCCGCTTTTTATAGAAGAACAATTTAATACAGGCCTATTAAAATCATAGCCATTAAAGAAAGCAATAAATCATGCCCACATGCTAATGACCAATTTCGATTAAATGCTCAATGTAATAAAATATCAAAACTAATGAAATAAAAACTTCGCTGATGGGAAGCAATCATGCCAACTTACTCCGAGGATGAATACTTGACTGTAAAATAAGAACGTTAACTCAAAAACCATACAGATAAAAATACGACAATTTTTTTGAAAAATCAGAGGACCCACTTTCGAGTAAGTTTTTTGAAGTTCACAACCCTCAGATGGCCTGTAATCCCTACGTTCAGGACTTTTGCAAAATCTTGGATTAATTGCTTCCTGCGATTGTTTAACCGTTAAGGGTTCTCGTCTATTCACAGCATAGGTGTCTCGACGGTGCAAATTAATTCCACTTGGTGGTCCCATTTTTCCCATCCTATCTAAGCCATTTTCCACTTCCTCATCTTCTGGATCACCTTCCGGAGCTAATCTAAGTGTGGAGTGATGCCGGACCTTCTTCTCCTTGCCTTGAGCTCTTCGCTTTTCTTCCTCCATTGCAAGGGCTTGAATTCTCTCGAGTTCATTTAATCGATCCAGTAGACCCCCCGCAGCTGACCGAACTGGACCAGCTTGTTCAAAAGGTGCGCGAAGCATTGCCGTGATTGCAATTTCATCTTCATAGGTAAGTGCATCAATTGAATCCGCACGGGCTAATTCAGAATCAAGCCACCAGCTAATGGGTCCCAAACCGGCAGATTCTTGCAAAGCATCGAAATCGGCAGAAGTGAGAGGCCGATTGAAGAGAGGCTCACCAAAAATGGTAACATCATTAGGCCACGTTGCGAGGGGCACAGAATCTGCAGCAGGAGATTTGATCGATTCCTGGGGTCGGGTGAACTTTGCAGAAAGATTCTTTGAAATGTTTTTGAGCATTTCACCTTAAAATTAATTAAATTCAAATTGACATACACAAATACGAGTTTTTTATTTTTTTCACCTAAATTTAAAAGTTCGAAATTGGTATCCATCCAGTAGGTAAATTACCATTTAAAAAGCTTACAACTGGCACCCAACGACCGAGGCCCAAATTAACTCATGTAAACCATACTTCCCTCCATTTAACTACCTTATGAAATTCATGTGTCAAGGACGATCAAAGAATATAAGGCAAAAATACGCGTTGCTTACTTACAACACTCCTCATTTTAAATTAAAAAATTAAAAATTTTACAATAAATTTTATAATTTTTTTGACAATAAAAAAGTTTAACCTTTAACAGAAATCATTTACTTAAAGTAATAAAACTGCTAATTCGATAAAATTAATATTTATTTTATATATTATTTAAGACAGGTTGAAACGACTTTTATAATATTGCACTTTTCGCATACTTTTGGACTTGCCTCATTTAGTCGGCTTGCTTTGGTTCTGATCATGTCTCTCGGTTTTTTCCCCAAATTTTCGGGATCTCGGCCTTTGAATTTGTTATTATGCATGGGTACGGTTTTCTTCATCATATTTTTTTCTGCTTAGTTAAAAGACTCTCGTCTTCTGCCCATGAAGACGCAATTCGACCACTTTATTTCGATTTACAGGCCACAACGCCTTTGGTAATTAGTTTTTAATCTTCGAGATTTCGTACAGGATCCTCGAGTTTTAGATGCAATGCTACCTCATTTGGTGTATTCTTTCGGCAATCCGCATTCTACTACCCACAAATATGGGTGGGAGTCGGAGCAAGCTGTTGAGAAAGCTAGGGCAGAAGTTGCCGATCTTATTAACGCTGATCCGAAAGAGATCATTTTCACCAGTGGTGCAACCGAATCAAACAATCTCAGCATTAAGGGTGTATCTCGGTTCTACGCCTCTAAAAAGCGCCATATTATCACATCCCAGATTGTAAGTTGCCCAACTATTTTAGTTATATTCTTTTTTATCCAGGAACATAAGTGCGTTCTTGATTCCTGTCGAGCTATGGAAAATGATGGCTTTAAAGTCACCTATTTGCCGGTTCAAAAAAATGGTCTTGTAAACCCTGAAGATGTTGAACGTGCAATTCAACCAGACACCACCCTCGTCTCCATTATGACTGTAAATAACGAAATTGGAGTTCTACAGCCCATTGAAGATATTGCCAAAATTTGTCGCGATAAGAAAATTTTCTTTCATACAGACGCTGCTCAGGCTGTGGGAAAGATTCCTATGGACGTTAACAAGATGAATGTGCGCTTAATACCCTTGTTACATTCTATTTTTCAAATCTTCATGATCCTCATTTGACTTATTTTCCATACTAGATTGATTTGATGTCAATTAGTGGACACAAAATCTATGGACCCAAGGGAGTTGGTGCCCTCTACGTGCGCAGAAGGCCCCGAGTCCGACTGGAGCCAATAATTAGCGGTGGTGGACAGGAAAGGGGTTTACGTTCGGGTACTCTTCCAGCTCCACTTGTGGTTGGCTTTGGTTCCGCTTGTCGGATTGCCGAGGCTGAAATGCAGGTTTGTTTGTTCATTGTGTTACTTTCCTTTCTATGCCTCCAAACGTTCTTTATTCATGCATTTCATTTGAATATCATCGGTTGGTTCAATCAAAATGTTTTTCCTGTGATGTTGAGCCAATTCCTTCTTAAATTAATCTAATGCCTATTCATTTTTTAATATAATTTTTTCATTTAAGTTTTCTATCTCCTTAAGTCCATTTTAGTGCTTATTCCCTACAAAGTAAATGTTTGCAAGAGATGTAAATCATCGTCCAGTTATCCATTGAAGAGTCACTAGCCATTTACTTTTTCTAAAGGATGCTGATGTTTCATTGAATTTTTACTACTTGGAGAAATGGAAGGGGCCTTCTTAATTCCGAATGTAAGGAAATCTTAATCATCACAACTATTGCTTCTTCAGCTATCTTGATTTATCTGGTTGTTAAACCCATTAAATCGTGTCTGTAGAGCATTGGCATCCAGCACGAATAGCTTAATTCAGCTAGTAGAAATCACCAGGGAGTTTATCAAATAATGGAATCTCAAATTATCATTCCTCTACTATCTTAAATTATCAAGTTATCAGATATTACTTTAGGCGCTAGATACATGCAGATAAATCTGAATGAGTCACTTTTCTGGCGTTTAGTTCTTGAAACAGTTTTATTCTCATTAAACTTTCCTGAAATGCATTGATTTCCACAATTTAATGAAATCTCATCTCTGCATCGCATCTCCACTTCCAGAATGATGCGGCGCTCGTTAAGAGGTTGTATGATCGTTTGTTGAACGGTATCACCTCGCAGTTGGAGGAGGTTATACTCAATGGAGATCCGGATAGACGCTATCATGGCTGTTGCAATTTGTCTTTCGCCTTCGTCGAGGGAGAGAGTCTCCTCATGGCTCTCAAGAACATCGCCCTTTCCTCCGGCAGGTGAGTGTGTCTACGCTTCCCTTGAATTCGTTTCCCTAATATCTGGCTCATCTAAATTCCCATAAATTCGCCCCCCCCCCTCTCTCTCTCATCGTATAGAGACCACCTTCTCCAAGCATGCAATATTAGTGTCACCATATTTATTCAATTTTTGTAATTTTCGCCTTATCAGTTTATTTGTGTACCTCTGCTAGGGTTTTTGCTAATTACTTTCTTTAATATTCCTGCGGGAAGCATGTGTGTGGTTTTTAAGGTGGCTGGAGCTATCACTGTACTTATGAGCTACTGTTGAATGTACTGATAGCCACCCCGGGTCACCTATTTGGTGTTGGTGTTTGGATCTTTTGTGGAACTGTTTCATAACACCGCATTTCATTTTTACGGTTTTATTTAAGGTATGAGGTTGATATGATACACGTGACTTTCAAAACCACAGGAAAGGCTGAAGACATAGTGTGTAGGAGGAGGGGGGGGGGGGGGGGGGGGGGTCGGGAATTAGCTTTGAAAACAAGTAGCTGCAGTTGGACTGTTTAAAAGATTAAGCAAGTACCAGTTACTCTGATGGTATGTGCTAATTGTGCTTTTGACTGCCCTCATATCTTTTCGCTTTGAGGGGTTGAACAATGACATTCCACCACTTTTCATTCTTATAACCTTCATTTTTTTTATCTATGTCGAACTTGTATTTAAATTCAACTTGTCCCATAAATTTCCCCTTCAGATTCAAGTTGTAACAGAAATAGTCTGTAGGAGAATAAGATTTTGATATCCCCTTTTTTTAATTGGGAGAAACCGGGGGCAAGATCTCCACACAGAGAGGGTAAAATTATCGTGGGTGAGCAGTTTCAATGTTACATTTGGGGGTGAAATAGTCTAGTCTATCTTTACCACCAGATGCAACGAAAGTCATTTGCCTGGATATTCAAAAATATGCAATCAAATGCATCCCCGGCCTACTTTTTCAATTAGTTTTTTCTTTTATTGAAATATTCTTGCTTTTCACAGTGCCTGCACATCGGCCTCTCTGGAACCCTCCTACGTTTTGCGTGCCATTGGAGTGGAAGAAGATCTGGCCCACTCTAGCATCAGATTCGGTCTTGGTCGCTTTACAACAGAAGAGGAAGTGGACTATACAATCAAGGAGGTTGTCAAACATGTGCAATCTCTTAGGGAGATTAGGTACCTTATTGGCAGATTTAACATAATCACTTTTCTTTTTGCGTCTCTACTTGCCGTTAGGAAATTACTTCTTTTGTCCAATCACCCCAATTGCTTACTGCTCTAATTGAGGGCGAAGTTATTTACCTCTTCTGTAGTCCTAGCTATTTGAGATGTTAATTTCATATTCATAAGAAGTTACTTGATTTCTCAGTGACGGCAATACTATTTTCAATTTGTTAGACACTCATGGTCTTGTGATGTTAAATAACCTCATATTTGAAAAAGAAGTACTTTTCCATACTGTGTATCTACTATTGACACATTTACATAATCACTATGTATATATATCTGTACTATGATGGTACCGCTAATTGAGTTGTCTAAAACGGTTTTTGTGTCCTGCCCACCTATCCCTTATTCAACATTGGCAAGTCATCTTGATGCCTTGTGTCATAACTGGTTCATTGGTATTCTTGGATCTATGCTTTGAGTAATAATTGAGTTTCATTTTCATTTCCTCTTTTAGTCCGCTCTGGGATATGCACCTGGAAGGAATCGATCTGAAGACAATAAAGTGGTCCCAACATTAGCGGTTGATATGGTAGCCACTTCTCTTGCCACCCTCTTTACTCTTTGCCTCCCACTATCATCGATTTTACACTCCACATTCCCTCTTGTGGACTAGTTTTTTTAATCTATCATTTGAATTAAACTCTGCGTGATGGCAGCCTTAAATACTATTACTGCCACTCAAAGCTGTCTTCTCATAAATGGGAAAGATATGGTGGGGGGGGGGGGG